CATCACTGGACTCTGTTGAAAGACAACAACTTAAAATTATAGATTATAATACATTTAACCCTTTATACTGTTAAATGTCAGAGGATTTTGTTTTCAGATAGATAGATAGATAGATAGATAGATAGATCTTGCATAATAATCAACCAAAGAACTTTTATAAATGCCAAGTGTGTGTTTACAAAAGGGGTCAGTATGATGAACAGTCCAAATCTCAACCCAGAAGATGTCCATGTACATCCAATCTGTAAACAAGACTTCTTCTGTGTTGTAAATAACTGGATGGTTCTCACTGGTAAGAACAGTCCATCAGTTTTAAGAGTCTTTAAGACAAACATTCTGTCTTGATCCAGTGAAGTAGGTACTGTAAGCTGTAGCTGGAAATGTTCAATGATATCCTGAGTCATCCCCAGTTTTAAATGAGTTGCAGTAAGAGTGATCTCATATAATCTGGGACATACGGTAACACTTTAACCCTGCTACATAACACTGGCATAACCATGCCATAAACGTGTAATGGTAGATGTCATACGCTGTTATGAGTTTTTGTGCCAGATTATGTTCAGGAAAATAACAGCGTTGTTATTATTGTTATTGTAACCATCACGAGAGATGCCTGTAAGGAAGAATGGGCCAATATGTTATGTTATATATAACATGCTAAACGTTGTTAAATGTAAGTGTATGTTGCTGAGTGTAAGTGTGTTTGCTAGTAAGCCACCCTAACATCAAACATTATAACATATATTATGAGAAGCAAAGAGTGTTTTCCACTCAGTTGACACCCAACATTAAAAGCATGTGACCATGGAAAATATTTCCAATGATGGACTGAAAACTCCACTGGAAATGAGGAGCAACTGCTTAACACAGGAATATCTTAACACTGTTTTGACTGGCTGCAATAGCCTTCACCAGCATAACATGCAAAAACAATAATCTGTGGTTCGCTGTTTTGCATGTCTATCAAACCCCCTTCCTGTCAACAATAACCAGCTAAAGACATATGTTGGATTGTTACATGACTGCTAACAGTTTAGTTTTTCTTTGGCTTCATGGCTCTTGCTGACTTAAATCCAGGCTAAGTAGACTGACAGACTAGTAATACAATACAGGTATTATTTGTGTGGTGGATCATTTTCAGCACTGTAGTGACACTGACGTGGTGGTGGTGTGTTAGTGTGTGTTGCGCTGGTATAAGTGGATCAGATATAGCAATGCTACTGGTGTGTTTCCACTCAATGTCCACTCCATTAGACACTTCCACTATGTTGGTCCACTTTGAAGACGTAAAGTCAGAGACAGTAGATCATCTGTTGCTGCACCGTTTGTGTTAGTGATCCTCTAGTCCTTCATCAGTGGTCACAGTTTGCTGCCCACAGGATGTTGGATGTTTTTTTGTTGGTGGACTATTCTGAGTCCAGCAGTGATGCTGAAGTGTTTAAGACCTTCATATTTATGTAAGTATGTATTAAATACTCCCTACTTTTAATGATGTGTTAACTTAAACTAAAATATTAACAAAACATACAGCTAAATAAATGTGTTAATTTTGACCCTACCTTTAAGTAGCCCAGTTTATTCGCTGTTATTTACTCTGTTTACCCCTTAAATAGCCATTGGCCCACTGGCAGGCCCAAAGTTTTATTGCACACTTCTTTAACCTAAGAATAGCTTAACCAATTTGCATTGAAGTCCCTGTATTACTGAAGAATAAGTCTTAGTATGTAATAAGCTGGGGGTTTAGGAGGTTAAATACAAAGTGTTTGCAATGCATTTTGTCACATAGATCATAACTAAAGAAACAAAACATTTAAAGATTCATTTGGGCCTATCTCAGTCTTGACTCAGCCTCAGTTCTCGGTTTTGCCTCTAATGGTCTAGACTGCAACACTGCCTACGTTGACTTTTCAAATAAATAAAGCACTAACAACTCTTTCATTCCATTCTAGGAGCTTTTTATTGCACTGTTCAAAGCTTTTCAAGAACTTTTTATGTAAACACTTTGAGATGGGAAGTAGGAGGTTCAGAGTGCCCAGTTGTCACGGATGCAACATATCATGGCACCTGTGTTGAATGTGCTCGGTTCATTTGCATTCTCATGAGCCCCCACAGCTCCTGTAGTTCAGTGTTTGTGTCTGCTTGATGAGCTAAGTGTTTGCTCTTATGAAGAATAGTAGTTTATGCAAATATGTGTCATACTGGCATGGTCTGTGGTGTTTATTAATGTTTACCGCCAGCAGGAGACTGGCAATACACACACACACACACACACACACACACACACGCACACACACACAAATATAGACATTTTATTTACTATCCAAAAAGACCAGTGAACCAACACAGGTCTATTGAGTTTTCATATACAATCCTTTTATTGTAAAATAGTCATAAAATGAGTTTCATGACCTTCTTCTAATATATAGTTTTTAGGTTTGAACTGGCAGAGAAAGACCGATCGTGGTCTTTTCTGTTCAGAAATGTTTTAAATGAAACAAAAATCAAACTTTGATTTGGGGTACAATGTTTGAAAAAAAATTGAAATCTTATATTTCAATCTTATATAAATATTTTTCTCAAATCTGTGTGTGACACAATTATTGGCATCCCTTCATTTAATATTTTGCGCAGACTCTACCTAAAAGGGTTCATCTGTTGTGTTAGATGTTGTTGTCGAGGAAAATATAGACCCTGTTTGGCTAACAGTAAGAATTATGTAAGAGTTTCTATCTTTTTGTGCACATTTACTAGATTAAAGCCCTCATTTGTTGAATTAACTAAACTCATGTTTGTCTATCTTTAACCAAATGCTAGGCCTCTAACATCTGTTCCTGTAGGCTGCAAGTTGCCTATTTTGCAAATGAGACCTTTTAGAAACACTGGTCTTTGTTGTTGTCTTCATTTATTTATTGCTGTTCGTTGTGTGGGTGCAGTGGAAGAAGATTTGAATATACAAATGCAATCCCTGTTTCAGCTGTCAGTGACTGATACGATATGCTGGTAGACTAATCCTAAACAATAACTGAATGGACCTCTATGCTGTTGTGTTTGGGGTTTATCTTTTAGACGAGACTTTGGCTGCATGGGAAACTATTCAAATAAATGTTAGCACTACTTTACCAAGGGCAGAAAACTGAGCAGATGGTGTAATCAGGTCCAGTGACAGGGTCAGTAAGACAAACTAGCAAAATAAATTTCTGAAGGGCACAACTATCTTCACCCAGTGAATAAAAATTCGTCTAGGTTTGATGTTAGTTGCCATGCGATAATGTAAGAGGTGCATTTTGTGTACTTTGCACTGAAGATTTGAATATACAAATACGATCCTTATTTAAACTGTCAATCACTGATGTAGAGTACTGTTATTCTTATCCTAACATTATAGCCTGAAGCATTCTACTTTGCAAGCCAATTTGTACATACTTTGTTGAAAGTGTCTCTATGTTGCTGTGTTTGAGACTTCCCATACCCCTTCAGCTATTTGACCACTTGCTGTGTCCCCCCAGATGCACATATTGCCATGATGCATGAGTTAGCCTTTAGCCTTAAAAAATCAGTGCCCCATAAATTATCAAACATGAAGTGATGACACTTCACACCAGATAAACTGAATAAATCATGTTATTCAAAAAGTGCTCGGTGCTCTATATGAAGGCACATGTGCATGTGTAAGACAGTATGCAGCTGTAAAATGAGTGATGACTAACAGCATTCACTAACAGATCACATTCAGCACAGCAACACCACCCTGTTTAATAAGCTGACATAACCCTAAATAATCACAGCAGCCTGTACAACCTTTAGTGTGTGAAAATGTAAACATTCACAGCTGTTTAGGTTATGCACTTTTCAGACGCTCCCTCAAACAGTAGCTCGTCTGTGTTTTGCTGTTCCGAGCTTTTAAGTTCATCAAAATTTACTGAAGGATACTTTTGAAAAATGTAGGTATGGTCATTTTTGCACATTTTATTTCATGAGAAATCTGAATATCCAGTGAACGGCCAATATAGACCCAACTTTACCGTAATTGTTTAATTTTAACATCCTACCATTCATCCAGTTCTAACACACAACCAAAATGCTGATTACAAACACACATAATGCTGCATCATCGAGGTAAAACACAATGAAGCCCTAAAGCTTATTTCCTTTGTGGTCTTACACATAAAACACACAACTAAATTGCTAACAGCTAAGCGCTAATCAAGCAGCTTCAAGCTAATATCTCACTACAACCACAGACTGAATCACACCTGTGAAAGTGAAACTAATTCGCAAACACAACTGAAAGGATCAAACAAGCCTTAACGGCCTTAATAACAGTGAATAAAAGGGACTCACTGCAGTCACACCAACAACAGCACAGCGCTTGAGATTAAACTCAGTGTTCAGTTTAATGAGTGTCAGTGAGGATCTCTTATTCAGCAGTTAGTGAGTGGAGTGCAGAGCTGTTTGTGTTGTCTAAATCAGGCAAGCGTCTGTGCAATTGTGGAGCCAGCTAATGCATTGAAATAAAGATTAAGCATGAACATCAAATATCAGAATTTTTTATGAAACCTCAGCATTGTTTGGTGTACTCCTGGAGATATATGTGTAGTTTTGTAACCAATAATTTCATGTATATGTACACTACTTGTAACTTCACTATATATATATATATATATATATATATATATATACAAATATATGTATAGCCACAGGGCATCATTGTTCAGTGACCTTGCAGGCTAGCAGAGAAGACTTTGTTTACCATATGAGTTTCTTTCTGTGTAATTAATTATACATGTTATGCATATTTGTTACTCTTGTTTATTTATATCACAATTACTTGTAATCAATGAATTGTAACTTCTTTGTTCTCTGTTAACCAGTGAAATGTAACACCACCAGCTTAGGGAATATAAAACCTTTGTAACTGACTTTCGGAGAACTCTGGGTATGTGCCAGGAGCTTCTCTCCGGTCAAGAGTTTTCAATAAATATATCACTTAGGAGCATTAATCGTGACTCTTACTGTTTTCTTTTTTAATTAAAAAATTTCTTCCACACATGCCACAGTTCGGGAACCATTGGTCTAGATTGGTCTAGAAGTTTTTTTTTCAATATTTTGCACAATAATTTTATGGAAATAGGAATGAAGTTTTGTGGGAACAAAATGTTCAAGGAGCAGTGGCTGGGGACCTCAGACTCACATGTCTACCACTGTTCTGAGGATTTTGTTTCAGCAAGTCAGTTAGTTTGTCACTTCACTGCATCATAGTTTATTGTATAAAACTGAGAATTTCAAGTCGCTCTGCCACTTGTCACTAAATCATGAGTACAAATCACATCCTCCCATACGAAATGACCGGATGCCTGTCGCTTTGTCACCTGGTAGTGTGAAGTAGACAGAATGAACTGACTAACTTGCACCTTCTGCACTTTGGCCCTGTGGTTTCTCACTCTGATATCTAAACAAATAGTGTACTTTCATTTCTTTATTTCTTTGTGTCTTGTTGAAGTAACTTTCTGGTCTCCCCTACTCCCCCTTACACTTTTAGATGGTTTTCTCCGTCTCTCTCTCTAGCTAGCCTTCATGGTTTAGCTTTCCCAGTTGCAATGTTCTGAGGCGGTGAATGCAGTGAGCCACTAAGGTATCTACATATGTGCACTCCGGTATTCGCCTGGCACATTCTGTTTTTTTTCCCTTATTTTTGATATTTCAGCAATGTTAGAAATGACCACACATTTGTCTCTTTAACACTCTGCAGAGGTAAGCTTATTAGAGCAACCTTGCTCCAGTCCTAGGAAAGTGTTTTATTAGGTTTACTAGGCATACACTGATGCATAATAGTGATAACATGGCACTGTCATATGGCATTCTGTCCCCTCTGCTGTCCACAGCAATCTTTTTTCACAAAACGTAGAAAGTGAAGTGATGTGAAGCATCTGAATTAACCAATCACACAGCCCCACACATGCCACCAGAAGCGGATAGCTTCCACACGCATAGCGGACCACACCAGAGTTAGCTGGAAGCAAACCAGACCACCCATTTCAGGAGGACCAGAGATTGGTCCTCTGGACTACTCCCAGGGTTGAAAACAGCTTGCACACTTGACCAAACATACCAAACTCGCAGAGCAAGCGGTTTGGAAAAACTGTAATTTGAAAACACCCCTAGTGCGCTGTATACATTTCAAGTATACTATTGATGTATTTATCAGCATCACAAGGGGTGACTTCTGATGATGGACTGAGCTTTCATTTGTATCTTAAGCTTGGTAGCTGGAAACTGGGATTGCCTGCGTCTTGTACACATATGAGTACATTAAACACACTTGTCGTTCTCCATCATCCTCTTCTTGTACAAATGGAAAACCTTTTCATTTTTCTCTCGCCAGCTCAGGATGCCGTCATTACCCGCTTCTTGTGTTCTCAATTTTTTCTCAATCTGTAAAAGAACATAAAACATTATCACCAGTGGCACTAAACGCAGTTTCATCAGTTTTTCCTCTGTTTACTGCAGGATTTGTGATGCTTCAGATCTTCACATTTAGCTTCAGGTCACTGTGCAGCACTAAGCTGTGGCCATATAGTGATGTAATTATGTTACCTGTTGTGTTTTTACTGTTTATGGTAGGCAAGTTGGCCAACGGACATGGAGAATATTCTCCATTCTGATAATCTTTCTGTTGCTAATCTAACGTCAACTGCAAAAGTCTAGTGTGAATGCAACTATCAAACTGTTGCCCTTCATTCTTTTTTTAACTATGGGTGAAATTTTCAAAGATTAAAAAAAAAAATCCCAAAGAGAATCAATCGCCTTCATCTGGATGCTACTGGTAAACTGCAAAAATACAAATGCATCCTTAGAAAGCAACGTGCAGATAAAGATAAGAGAGCTATAAGTGAATGTCATTACAGATTTCACTGACCTGACTCAGTATGGCTGTCTTCACAGCAGGGTCACCCAGATCCTTTATTCCATTTGAGGTTATTGTCAGTTTCACTATGCGTTGTCTCGGTGCTGGAGAAACAGAAATGCCAAAGTGCAATAATTAATGTTCACTGATAAAAACACAAAAAGCAAACAAAATTTAAACTTTTATGATGATAATATGTATGTATGTAATGTTGAGCTCCGTATTAAAGCCATTACAAAAAAGCATTTTAAATGCTAGTTTTAGGCTGGAATACCCCTTTAAATGCACTGTGGCAGATGGTCTACCATGATACTGAATACAGTCAGTGCTAACAGTAAACTATCATATATGTTGTGCTTTTTTATTTGCATTGCAACACTAAATGTGACTTTTGCTATAAAATCAATTGACCAATTGGGGAAAATTAAGTTTCTAACATTGATGTCAGTAATAAGTTTTCAAGTAATTCAGTTCACTTCTTTTAGTGAGTTACATCTATGACTGAACTCCAGTCACTGTCACCATGGAAGAATATGTGTCAAACGGACCTTTGTAACACATGAAACGTGTCTTTACGTCACACAGTGCGTCATCCCATTGTCCATTCCAAGTAGTCACCATTGAGACGCAGCTTGCGTTGCCTGTGGGGCTCCAGGGTTGTCCTTCCTTCCAGTAGTGGAATGAGGTGCTTCGACGGTCAGACCATTTCCAGTTGTCGAAGAAAAGGCCTATCCATGCGTATCCTACACTGCCCAGAAGATCTGAAACGTGCTGATGTTCCTCCTCATTGTGAATGGTGGCCAGGTCAGTGTAGTTCTTTCTGCAATAATCCTGAGCATTTCTCCAACTGGCTCGTTTGCTAACATGGATAAATTGTTTAGTCGGTTCTACACACACACACACACACACACACACACACACATACGCACACGCACACACACAGAAAGAAGCATAATTATTCACACATCTTTAAAACTTGCTTATTTTACAGGCCATGTTTAAATGATGATATCCTTTAAAACAATCTCAATGGCACATTGTCCACCCACCAAGACCACCCCTATCCAACCATAATCTGTCCTATTTAGCAGGAAATTACCCAATCTGGCAACACCGCATATCCTGCACAAGAAGATACGTAGTCTTACAGGGTCAGATGTGATCTTGTATCAAAAAATACTCAAGACTCTAGAAGATATAAAGCCATAATTAAATACTGGACACAAAAAATATTGTCTGTTTATGACAGACGATGAGTAAGCTAGTATCTTCTGGTTACATCTGTGAAACATATGCAGGATGTTGTGTGGAAAAACATTAGTTATAGCTTCACTGGTTGTTTAGAAAACAAACAAAATTGGTCATCTTTGCATTGCAGACATTGTGAACCCTCATTCTAATATTAACATTATAAACACTAAAATTACAGAGAAACCGAAGCTGCTTCAAAACACTCCTTATGATTTTGCTTAACACTCAACAAGTTATGCTGAAGTTATGAAAAATCGGAAAAAACTGGCCGAGTTTCAGGTTGTAGGTATTGAGTAGAGAACATGCTGTAAAATGAAATTGGTTATTTTACTATTGGCATTTTTATTTTCTTCATATTTTCATTATTGGTATTTACATATTGTTACTCACCGCTGTAGCAAACAAATTCCCAAAGATTTGTGCAATTAGCATCAATCCATCCACTAAGATTATATTTTGCTGCACAAAGTCCATCTCTGTCTCCACCGTCTGGTTCCAGACTTCTCCAATTCATGTATTGTGGGATCTCTCCTGAAGACCAGCCCCAGCGTCTTGGGGGGCCTTGTTCAGTCCAATCCACAGAGCACCACTGTACTTAGGATCTACTGCCGCCATCAGCTGCTTCATCTCCTCCATGTTGTCTACAGTAGCCAGGTCAGTGTACTTCTCTCTGCAGTAGCTCTGAGCCTCCAACCAAGTCTTACCCTCATTCACAAAGTAATATTGCTGAGAGAGAGTTGAGGCTGCACTACAGAGACCTGAGAGACATCAGCACAGCCATATGAGTCATTTGTAAAAGACATTTAACAAAGCATGCTGGATAGGAAATGTTGGGATTGTCTTTTTTCCCTTCCAAAGGTTGTATTGCTGATAAAACAAAGGCAAAGTTTGAGTGACAGTGCAGTGAAAAAGTTTTTACCCCCGAATGATTCTTCTGCTTTTGTGAATCACACTTGTTTCAGATCTTCAAACAAAATTTCATACAAGACAAAGACAATCTGAGTAAACACAAAACATGATGATCATTTCATTAAACACTTAGACAGTTAGCTAACTCCAGCTGGCCCTGTGTGAAAAAATAAATGCACCCTTAGTTACTCAGTCAACCAATGAACCAAATTGTGTTGATAATTAGGATTGAGTACTGGACACACCCAGGCTTGATTACTGTACTGCTGAATTTTCACTCAGAGTACAGTTACTCGGATCCTAGGGGCTTAGGGGATCTTAAATGACATTTAATTAGCTTTTTGCTTGTTTACTGCTTTTGTTATGTCTCATAACATGATGCTCAGTGCACTCTACTACACCCACTAGCATCTAATATTAATTGTTTACATTAGACTAAATATTAATAATTTAAAATAAAAAATTCCAAATGTGTCATGATGCAGGTTATGAATGATCCATTTTGCAAAGCACAGTTCATTTATATAGCGCTTTTTGCAACAGGTGTTGTAACAAAGAAGCTTGACAGAAAATCCAGGTCCGAGCCCCCATGAGCGTCGCCAGTGGTGACAATGGCACGGCAAAACTCCCTAAGAGCAGGAGGAAAAACCTTGAGAGGAACCAAGACTCAAAAGGGGAACCCGTCCTCCTCTGGTCGACACCAGATAGCAAAGAGCGTTAGTATAAAGTATTATAGTACAAAACGGGGAAAACAGGCATGGCAATGTTTAATTAGATTAGTTTTAGTTTATGCAGCAGCAGCAGCAGCAGTAGCTTCTTCAGGAGGGTCAGTTCATGAGGCTGAGGTTTGCACAGCCTTGTACAGCATGAAGCTCAATGGTGATCAAGCCGATCCAGAAAGCTGGTGAGCAGTGGGCACCCGATCAAGGCAGAAGAAGCAACAGCATCAGACGCACAGGATGGGCAGCTGTTCCACTCGGCAAAGAAAGGAGAACACACAGAGTTAGTTCTGTAAAGAGTCACTGATCACAGATTACAGGGTTAACAGAGCAGCAGAGACTCTGACAGGTCTAGTTATTGTAGCCCTTTACTACAAGGGAGAAACCAGAAGGTAACAGAGACATGAGGCTCCCTGAGATGTCGGCGCCCCTCTGCTCCACCGTCAGCAAACTTGAGTGAACGCGTGAGAGCAGCAGGATGACAGCACCAACACTCCCAGTTTACCATAATACTCTATGACCAAGAACCCCCACATCTGCACCTTTTATCTGACAGGAAAACTAATTACCAAAGGCTCGACTAAACAAGTAAGTTTTTAGCCTAGACTTAAAGACTGAGGCTGTGTCTGAGTCCCGAACACTGACTGGAAGCGAGTCTGTTTAGAGCTTTATAGGTCAGTAAGAGAATTTTGTAATCGATGTGAAATTTAACTGGCAACCAGCGTAGGGTTGATAAAACTGGGCTGATATGGTCAAACTTCCTGGTTCTTGTGAGGACTCCGGCTGCAGCGTTCTGGACTAGCTGAAGCTTGTTAAGGCTTTGCTGGGACATCCAGCCAGCAGGGCATTACAGTAATCTAGCCTTGAAGTAATAAATGCATGAACTAACTTTTCTGCATCCTGTAGAGAGAATGCATTTCTTAATTTAGCAATATTGCGGAGATGCAGGAATCTGTTCTAGTAATATTAGTTATATGTGCGTCGAAGGACAAATCAGGATCTATCGTGACACCAAGATTTTTTACAGATGAACCTGACGCAACTGAGAAATGGTTAAGTGTTAAATTAGACAGTTTGTTTCTTGCAGCTTTTGGACCAAGAAGCAGAACCTCTGTTTTATCCGAGTTAAGTAGGAGAAAGCTACTCGACATCCAGTCTTTTATGTCTTTTATACAGTCCTCAATCTTGCTAAGTTTAATTTTATCATCCGGTTTGCTTGATATATATAACTGAGTGTCATCGCCATAGCAGTGGAAATTGATGCTTTGTTTACTGATAATGGTGCCCAGTGGTAGCATATATGTTGTGAATAATATAGGTCCTAAAACAGAGCCTTGTGGAACACCATACTTTACTTTTGCAAGGACAGATGATTCACCGTTTACATTACAGGGCTGGTTTCCTGGTAGAGATGTGTGGATGGGAAGACAGGTCTGGTTCTTTAGTAGGGCTCTGGGTATTAATACGGAGACAGGTCTTCTGAGCCTGAAGCCGCATCTGTTGGACCTTGCACCAGGGCAGGGACAACTGATATGAATAGGTTGCTAAATGTTTGCCTGCACTAAATGTTGGCTAAAAGAGGATTGAAATGTAAACATTCAATTGTCTATGAAGATATCAAGAAAATAATGTTAGTGGATCAAAAATAG